TGATTGAGATTGGTTTATGGGCGCAACGAGGACGTTGCGTTCCTAAGTGGGGGTGATTGTAAAACTTGAGATTTAATTTAAATGGATTAATAGTACTACTCATACCAACAGAGGTGCATCTCCTTTTAAGGGAGCTCATCACCCAAGAACTCCAAAGTTAAGCGTGTTTGCACGGGAGTAGTCTTGGGATGGGTGACCCCCTGGGAAGTTTCTCAGGGCGCGCACGAGTGATGACAAAGTGCGCGGTAAAGGCTCGTGGTGGTTTGTGAGGACAGTACTAGAGATCAGAAGTAACTACCTCAGGGCCTGTGGGGTCGGGGTGTTACACAAATGCCATCCTAAGGGTATAGAAGTGCATTTAGAACCAAGCATGTTAAACCTATCCAAAATTTTAGTCAAATAACTGCTTTGAGATAAGAACATGCACTTTTCAGGTCTATTTCTGCTAATGTCAATTCCTAAGATTCTTTTAGCAGGTCCTATGTCTTTCATGTCAAAATGAGTTTTTAGATCATCTTTCACACTAACAACCATCATTTTGCACAGACCAATTATAAGGATATCATCAACATATAGCAGAATGTAAACAGCATTATCAGTACCAACATGCTTAAAATATAAGCAAGTATCATATTTACTTTTAAGAAAACCAAGTTTATTCATACAAGCATCAAATTTCAAGTTCCATTGTCTTGGAGACTATTTTAAGCCATAGATAGATTTTCTTAACAAGCAAACATGATCAGGATACTTTTTACTCTCATATCCAGGAGGTTGAGACATGTAAATAGTTTCATTTATATCTCCATGTAAGAAAGCAGTCTTAACATCCATTTGTTCTAATTCCCAGTCAAACACAGCAGTCATAGCAAGCAAAAGTCTCAAGGTTTTAAATTTGACAACAGGAGCAAAAATATCTTGGTAATCAATCCCTTTCTTTTGTTTAAAACCTTTAGCAACAAGCCTGGCTTTATACTTAGGAGGATCAGTGGGATCAAGACTATCTTTTATCCTATAAATCCATCTACAATCAATGACTTTAGCACCTATGGGTTTAGGGACCAAAGTCCAAGTTTGATTAACAAACATAGATTGTAATTCCTCTTGCATTGCTTTAACCCATTCATTTGATTTAGAACTCTTTATAGTTTGTTCAAAAGTTTCAGGCACATTATTTTTAACAATTTCAGAGGCTATAAAGATAAACTCAGCTAGATTAGAGATGTATTTCCTATTAGGAATAATATTTCTAGGTTCTCTATCTCTAACAAGCTGGTAATCAGACAAGTTTGATTCTTCATGTTCATTAGAGGTACTATCATTTAGAGCAGTTTCACCAACATTATCATTTTCATCAGATAAAACAGGTACATCATGCAAATTACTCAAATTATCAAGTGAGGGTGAGGTACTACCTTCCTGGATAGAGTCAGTATTAAACTGTGCAATACCTTCAGATGAATCATCTTGATCAGAATCTGATAAAGATTGATCATCAATACCTTCATGAAGTCCTCCAACATCAATGTCTTCTTCTGACAGACTCTCATTGCCCAGAGAATCAAAGAAGGTACCATCAGAATCATCTGTTTTCATACTAGAAGATGCATTAATATTTTTAAAGTGAAATTCAGATTCATTAAATGTAACATCTCTAGAAATAATGCATTTATAAACTCCAGGTTGAATGACAAGGAGTTTATAACCTTTCACACCTTCTGAATAACCAATCATAACACACTTGATAGCCCTAGGTTCTAATTTACCTTGAGAGACATGAGTGTATGCAGTACACCCAAAAGGCCTTAAGTGAGTTATGTTTGGTTTCACACCAGACCACATCTCCTGGGGGGTTTTGAAACCCAACACAGAGGATGGTGATCTGTTGATCAAGTAAGTAGCTGTTACAATAGCTTCACCCCACATAGAATTTTTAAGACCAGATTCAATTAACATGCATCTAGCCTTTTCAAGAATAGTTCTGTTCATTCTCTCAGCAGTACCATTCTGCTGTGGGGTGCCAGGGACAGTTAAAAGCCTTTTAACCCCTTCAGATTTGGAAAAATCATTGAAAACATGGTTACAAAATTCAAGACCATCATCAGTTTTCAAACACTTCAGTTTAAACTTGGATTGAGACTCAACAAGCTTTTTCCAGATTTTAAAACTGTCAAAAGTTTCATCTTTGGTTTTCAATAAGTAAACCCACACTTTCCTAGAAAAATGATCAATAAGAGATAGAAAATATTTTCTTCCTCCTAGAGTTCCAGTTTTAGAGGGCCCCCATAGGTCAGCATGGACCAATTCCAGGAGTTGTGAAGCAGTATAGGTAGATTTGCCAAAAGTGTGTCTGGTTTTCTTACCAAAAATACAGTTTTCACAAAAATCAATTTGGCTTGGTTTAAAGTCAATCATTCCATTTTAAACAATTTGTTAAGTCCAACATTTCCAATGTGACCTAGCCTTTTGTGCCAGACCTCAGTTTGTTTTTGAATAGCAATGTTAGTATCAGGGGCAGCTATATTCAGCTCAGAGGAACCTTCAACAATGTAAAGACCTCCATGATTAACAGCTTTGATAAGATGATTTCCATTTCTGGAAACCATCTTAATGCCAACCTGAGTAACAATGCTACAGCCTAACTCATCAAATATAGATTCAGACAGCAAGTTTCTTCTCAAATAAGGAACCCATCTCACATTTTGAATGACCCTAACAACTCCATCAAACATCCTTAAAGGCACATTACCTATGCCCATAATATCCAAAGCAGTATTGTCCCCCAACATCACCTTTCCCCCATTGTACAAGTGTAATGAGGAAAAGATAGCTGTGTTGGGGGTGGCATGCAAGGTACAACCAGAATCAAGGATCCACTCATTTTTCAAAGAAGAATCAGAACAGATAAGCAATTCATGTTGTATTATGTTGGCAGACTCAGTATTAGAATTGGGATTAACAGTGGTTTTTGAATCACCCTGTTTATCCCTTTTCTTTTTCCTACAGTCTCTAGCAAAATGTCCCTCTATCCCACAGTAGTGACACTTAAAACCTTTCTTTTCAGAATTTTCCTTATCATTTTGTTTCTTCTTTTTAGAGCCATTTTTCTTACCCTTTGATTTACCCTTAACAACTAAGGCTTCATATTTGATTTCAGCCTTTTCATTATTCAAGGGATCATTCTTCGACTTGAAAACTTTTAGGGTTTCATTCTTTTCTAAAACAGAATCAATGATCTTATCAGGGGTAAGATCTTCATTAGAGTATTGAATGACATCCTTGAAGTTATCAAATTGAGAAGGCAAAGAGTTAAGAAGAATGACAACTTGATGAGTATCTTTTATCTTCTCATCCACTTTCTCAATTTCTTGTTGTTAATTTCAGAAAATTATCCAAATTATCAGAAAGAGACACAGAAACATTCATCTTAAAAGTGAACAACCTACATAACAGAGAGATTTTTCTAGACATAGATTTTTTCATGTAGGTTGATTCCAGAGTATTCCATAGAACTTTAGGATCAGTTATAGTTGAGAATTTTCTTGCAACATTATCAGATAAGTGAATTATCAATTCAGAGTAGGCAGCATTCTTTAATTCAACAAGGTCAGACTCAGATATTCCAGTTATTTCAACATCAGAAACAACTTTAAAGCATATTTGTTTCATTAACAAAGCCTTCATCTTAAGCTGCCACATAGGGAACTCACTAGTACCATCAAAGATGCGAATCTTGGTACTAGAGTCAGCCATTTTTCCCAATGCGGACTCAAGAAAAACAGATATAAATCAAGAGCAGAAAACAGATAGAGTCAAAACACACAGCACCAATCACAAGACAAAATAATTCTGAGCTAGGGTTCCCAGAAAACGAACAACAAAGGAATAATCAAGAACTAGGGTTTCAAGAAATCAAGAATTAAAACCAGAGGTTAAATTTCAGATTTCAAGAAATCACACAAGGCTCTGATACCAAATTTGTTCACAGACTTAACCAAGTCACAGTCACTCAAATCGGATCTCAACGTTTCAAACAAGCAAACAAAGCAAAAACAGAAAAGTAAAGAAACACGATATGATGACGCAGTTCGGAAGAGAACTTCCTAGTCTGCGGGGTTTCAAGAGGGGAAACCCGGTCCCAGGCAGATCCACAAGCTCAGAATAGGTTTTACAATCAAGATGGTTGCAAAGTAATTAGACACTGACCAGAATCAACATGCAATATACAAACATACAGCTCATAACGATAAACTACAAGAGAAAGTTCAGAGTTAACCAAAAAAACGAATCCGGTCAGGAATCGAATAGCAGAAGAAGACTTCCGGTAGAACCAGCAGACTACTTCATAGAACAGGCTTCCTCCTTCCTCGCAATCGTCATGAGAAGATGACGTTCTATCGCATGAGATAACAGATCCAAGAATCAGACTCTCTCTCTCAGGATTCTCTCTTTAGGGTTTTGAGTTTATGCAGCGGAACAGTGCAGATGCGGAAGACGAAGGTTATATAAATAACCTTTCATCCGGGCAGAAGATTTAACCAAGAGGCCGGACCCAAAATAGGCCCAACAACAATCAGTTAGCAAATCAAGCCCAATGCACCAACCAACCAACCCACTAAAGAGATAACCCAAGATAAAGAAAAATAAAACAAGCCTAATTACTTTGCCATCCTATCTTAATTATAACAAAACAACATATGAGAGAATTAGGATTAAATAATAATCCAACATATACAATGATGATAATAATTATGATTTCCTAGTTGGAAGATTCTAAAGATTCTATGATGATAACAATTATATTTGAACAATAATAATATTAAATATGATATTGTTATGATATTGTTGTACTCTAGAATATTCTTCATCGGTGTATATATAGGCCTTGTATGGATTTCATTCAATAACATTAATATTTTCCCTAATTTAAAGCTTCTATAGGACAGCCCCTTAGAGCAGGTGGCCATCATATTTTTTACTACGTACTGAGTATTTTTTCATCGGAGTATTTTTTATTCTCAAAGGATAAAAGAAAGAGATGAAACAAAACTGAAATGAACATCGAAATTACGCAAACCTTCAATTTATTCAAGCAATAACTACAAACCTGAATTTAAAATACAAATCGAACTCCTTTATTAACATACAAAATACCCTACTATTAAGTAAAATAGCAGGTAATTATTATACTGGGAAAAACATATGCCAAGCTAATACTCCGTAATATTCACCGTAAAGTATTTAATTTTACAACAAAGCTGCCAAGAAAATTGGTAAAAATACTAGGCCCGAAAATATCGATACACTAGTTGCGCCAGAGGGCGGCGGCGGCGGGGTTGAAGAACTGGAACCCGGGGAAGGGCTGCTTCCGGTTGGAGGTGGCGGAGATGAAGGAGTAGAGCCCGGGGTAGGGCTGCTTTTCGGCGGCGATGAGGTGCTAGCGGCGGAAATAACGTTGACCGTTAGCTTTTGGCCCTGGGAGCAATGGATGGTGCATACGAAGTAGTGCGGGCCGGTAGATTTCAGCGTGATATTTGCCGGACCGTTATTGGCCAGCGAAACTGGAGAGGCGAAATTGCACGAATCATAATCCTTCTTGTTCAATTCTGCCACCGTATGCCCTCCGGTCACGAAATCGAAGGCTGCATATTTTATTATTTTATGGGTTAGATTTGCTTTTTTATCCGAATTAAGTATATAAAATAAATGCGACAAATCTTTTGTTTCTATTAATAATTTGAACTTGAGTCTTGAAAAAGAATTGTGTATATTAACGATAAAAACTCAACGAAACTTGAATTTATGAATTCCCGTAATGTATTCAAAATTTAAGCTAATCTCCATAACACAGTTGATTTAGTAAACTGAAGAGTATGCACTGTAAAATGTGACAAATCTATTATAGTTAAACAATTGTAAAATAAACATAATATCAATTTTATCTTCAATTGTCATAAAACATAAGCTATTACTATCGTCAACAGGATCACTACACATTTTAGTCTTATACGATATATTCGAGTCCCTGTTCAGAAAGCTTTGTCATTTTTACTTTTCAATGTCAGTTATGGTACACAAAGTTATGTAGTATAAAGTTTATACTTTACTAAAAATATTTTTAATAAAGTTTGATATTTAAATGAACATAATGAAGTCATTAAACTTCATGTAAACAGGGCCAAATACCAATCAAGATTCTGAAATTTCAAAAGTAAAAGCTATAATTGGCTTTAAGTTTCTAAAGAGTCAATTTACCCCTTAAATAAACTAAACAAAACAATCCAAGATTTCATCCAAAAAAAAAACAATCCAAGAGTTCTTGCCCCCTACCGTTAAAGCAAAAAGCCTGCCATACAAAATTACAAACAGCACCCTCCAAGTGAGTTTTCCCAATCCTTTTGAAGATATCCCAAAGTTAAGTCCTTATTTCTCATTTCGACAATATTTCAATGGTGAAATACTTTTCTACCCATGTGAAAAATACATTATCAATTATTAATTTTTTCTATTTTTTTATGGACACATTTCAAAAATCAATAAATAGTGAAACTTTCTAAAAAATGCGAGAAGTCAAGTTAGCATTTAATCTTAAAAGAGAGGAAGCATATAAAAACACCATATACCTTATATCTTTATAAAAACACCTTATGAAAACTCCACATACAACGTTAAAGAACACGATTTAACCCTAAATGATATAAATGTTGGATTTTTTATAAATACAAGCAAAAACAATGTAAAAAATCAAGATAGCAAAAATGCGTTTTTCCTAAACATGAGTATACCGCTACTTCGTGAAAACTTAATGTCATATTTTGACATTACCGAACTTTAAATACGACAATATGCATGCTAATATGCTACTTCCTTCGTCCCAAATTGTTTTGAAAAATCAATATTTTTTGGTCAACCACTAATAAAAGTCAATGCTCCCTATCGATAATTAATTCAATTTTTAATAATTAAAATTTACAAATTCAGAAACTACATTAAAATCTCTTTAAAGTTGCAAACTCTAAATTAGAATATAATTAAAAATTGACATCGTAATTAAACGAATAAAATGAAACTGTTTGACCAAGAAAAGTCAAATTTGCAAATCAATTTGGGACGAAGGTAGTACTCCCTATATAATTGAATGTCACTAATTACTCTTATTTAGGTAATAAGAGCGTATTTAAAATCCAATAACTTTTTCAATTGGTTTGATTGTGAACCCAATAACAATTTTGATAAAAAAAGAAAAGAAAAATAAACTTGAAAATATATGTAAAGTAACAATCAAAAGGAGGTAGAAATTAATAACGTACTCAAGACATCTCCAACAACGAACTTGATGTTTTTGGCCCAGTCGGAGTAAGCGCTGTTACTGGCCGGAATGGACCAACCGCCGCTGCCTCCGACGGTGTACGTCGCTGCGTATGAGCCCTGTAAGCTAATAGCAGCAGCTACGACTAATATCATCAAAATCATTTTACCACCCATCTTAGCTTAGCCTGTGTTCTATGAAATTGAATCTCAGGTCGCCCCTGCTGGAAGGATATTATATAATCGAGTGCTTTTTTAGTGAAAGAAGATTAGCTTAGGAAGATGATCGATGGAGGCAGGTTGAGGTTTGGAATGGAAGATTTGCAGTCATTTTATAAAGAGGTGAAAAGTCAACACAGCAAAAACTTTTCAACGCAGAGTGGTTGGAACTTCCTTGTCGATGACCGGAGTTGGCTAAAGCCCGACCCGTTCTACCATCTTGGAGCTGATAATGAAAAAAGAACTACTTCCTCCGTCACGAATTGAATTACAAACTTTGACCACCACGAAGATTAAGAAATGACAATAAATGATGCTTGTGTTTTACGGTTTTGCTCATCTTTCTTGAAGCAGATGCCTTTAAGTTAATGGAGAAAAAATAAAAGTAGGGGTAAATTTCTCACTTTATTCTTATTCAGATACCTAAAATAGAAAGTGGAATATCATTTTGGGACAACCAAAAAAGGAAATTTTGCAAATCAAATTGAGACGAAGGGAGTATGTTTTAATTATCTATCTACACAGTCAGCTCGTGCAAAAAACAACTACGTTCTAATTATTTATCTAGATAGACAAATGTACAAAAAGTGTAGATTTTCTGTATACATCAAGAACAACTTTAAATAAATATACACGCTCTCACTTGTGGAATATGGCAGTGGCCGACGTGCTATTGTTCAAGGGTGTTCAGACAAACACCCAAAATTTTGAAAATAAGATGAAAAAATACATATATAGAATTGATACAATAATTTATATAATGTATTTTTTATACAATGTTTGTTACCCTTAACCTTTTTTTCTAATTTTTTGTTGTAGAAAAAATTACATTCCTTCAATTGTGTTATCGAAAAACATTATTGTTCAATATTTTAACCATAATTGTTTTTTGAACACCCACTTTCCGGTTGCAAGATACGCCACCGCCACCGGAGGATGGAATCAAATCATGTCACAAACAAACCATGTGAAAAAATGATCTGAAAATGTTTGACCAAAATATCCAACTTAACGACCAGAATTTCATGTGATGACATTGAAACAAATTTGGTTCACCGTGGCATATACGTTCATTCTCCCCTTCACCATATGAAAATATGGCCTACTATTATATATTAGAGATAATTACTTTGTCCTTAAATTATCTTTCAAAGTACATTTGACACGCAACATTAAAGGTAGAATCGTTTTGAGACAATGTTTGAGTTAAATAAGTTTTTGATTTAATATATATTGTATTATATACATTATTAACTCCGCGTAGCTAATTTAGTAAATAAGATGTTATTTTGAAGATTTGGAAATGTGATTAATATTACAAGACAAATTTAGTCCAGATCAAATTTAGATGACATTGGTTTTTCAAGAATCATAATTTTGGAATTATAATGAGTTACCACGAAACACATAATATATCAAATCGAATGTACCTAAACCAAATGTATTCCAAAATGGAATATACAAAGTCGATGTTTAGCCGACGTGTGGGGGCTAACTTAGCACCCAAGGTGGAGTCCGAAGGGATAACTTAATTTACGTTGGAGGGTCAACTAGACAAATAAAAAAAATAACCAACTGTCAAATTATTATAAAACGAAAGCATATTGCATTGTCGGATCATAATAATAATAATAATCAAGATTAGTCTTCTTTCTTTCTTTAATCAGTCTCTAGTTATATTTGTCAAACTTAGGCGGCTGGGGAAGAGGAGGACAAAGCCAAACTAATTACAAAGATAAAGGTCCCATTAAACTTTGTCAACTTTGCATTTTTTGTTGTCTCAAAAAACTTTGATATTTCTCTATTAAAATAATTAATTTGTGGATCTTCGTATTTCTCTCTCCTCTTCACAAACTTCAACCACACAGTTTTTACTATTCTTACTTTTCACTTACTTTACACTTGACAAAGTCTATCGGGATAGAAATAATAAGGAGTAATATAAAAGGCACAAAAAGAAAAGTAAACACGACTTGGAAAATATTGAGTTTACTTTTCTTGTGAGCTAGAAGAGATAGACGATGTTCCCATTGATGTTGGGTTTGACTTGTCTTATCCAGCCACCCAACGGGGCAACAACTCGCATCTTTCCGGGTAAGAATTGAATAGGTCCTCTTTATGTCACTTCATTTTGACAAAACAAGAATCAAAGGATATAATTTAGAGTACATTGGTTGACACTGTTTCATACTATTTGACACTGTTTTCAGTGGCGGAAGCAGAACAAAAATTGAGGGGGGCGAAAAAAAATCAAATCATCGAGTTGGAAAGATATATAATCTCTACTATATTCGTTTTTAATACGCTCGTTTTAAATATCAAGGTTTAAATAGAAATATAGCTAAACAAATAGAGGAAGATAAATTAAAACTCCCATACGGAGTATATGTAAGTTACTAACTTATCAAGAAAATAATAATTTTGTTTTACTCTTTTCAATTTAACGTTGTTTCTAGGTTATTTGTTTTTTAAAAGGATATTAATTGTTTTATTTATGCAAATTTATTAAATAAATTTAATTATACACATATAATTAAAGTCGCATATTTCAAATATTAACAAGAAGTTTTGGCATATTTGTATTAAAGCAAAGAATAAATAGTTATGTTAAGTTAAAACTTTATAGTCATTGGACTAAACAGAAAATGTAAATAACATGTCAATATTCGAAAAAGTAAAAAAAGTTAAATATTATAAATTGGAAAAATAAAAATGTATAATAAAAGTAAAAGAAATGTAGTGCGATAGGAAAAATTAAAGGGGAAAATAATTAAAATACCCCAAACTTTGAAGGGGTGTGAGATAAACACCCCAAATTTGCATATGTAATTTAAATACCTCAAACTTTATATAAAAGTTATTTTAGCACCATCTTCATGTATTATTTCTTTCAAAAATATTAATTTTTGGTGTTTATTTCATAATTTGATAATTTTTAGTATTCATAAAGATACAATTAACATTCTAAACTTCCATAGTAAAATAAATAGTATTACCCACCACTATATATAATTCTAATGTTTTCAATTTTCTATTTTAAATTATGCATTTAACACCATATATTTACATTTTTGAAAGAAATCATACATAACCATGGTGTTAAAATAACTTTTTATATAAAGTTTGGGGTATTTAAAATACATATGAAAGTTCGGGGTGTTTATCTCACATCCCATCAAACTTTGGGGTATTTTAATTATTTTTTCCAAAATTAAAACTAAAACAGTCACAAAAGAAAAGAAAGTAGAGAAGGTTTAAACAATTAAAAGACTCCAAGCACCAAGGGGACTCGAACCCGGGTTTGTAAGAAAGCTAAAGCGAAGTTCTACCATCTCTGCTACCTAAACTATTGTTTACAAAACAGGTTGATGTATATTTATTACATTACTTTGAGACGGGGCTGTACATACATATATACATATATATACACCACCATCTCCGGCGAACGGGGGGCGGCAACACCGGCTCGCCCCCTAGTTCCGCCACTGACTGTTTTGTACTGTTTGGTATAGATTTGTTTGCCAAATAAGGCAAATAAGAAAGTGTAAAGTTTAATATGGGATGACCCAAAATGAAAAGTGTAAAATTAATTAAGAACCGGAGGGAGTATATACTTCAAAATTTCTTGAAGGGAAATAATTGAGAGGGTTTTTTTGTCTCTCAATTCCACTTCACAGAAAAACCGGTTTATTTTGTCTGTGAAAAAATCTACAGACAAAATAAGTCAGTTTTTGTCAGTCGATTGGGATTCACAGAAAAAAACTCTCACAGACACAAAAGTGTACTGATGTGTATAAGAACGTGTACAAAAAGAATTTTTCTATATACTATTCCTCCTTTACCGTGGAATTCATTTTACCTTAACTTTAAGCAGTTAAGTTGTTAGTTATCCACTAATAATATCTAAATAATACCTTGGACAATTAACTAAAGGGATAAGGACACCATTATTACTAAAAAAGAACCCATTAACAAAAAAGTGACCATTTTTAAAAATTTCCGAAAATGTGACCCGCTGCACTAACATGCTACAGAAACGAGCTACAGTGACAATTCTACAGTGACGAAAGTCACAGTTACTCATATACTCCCTCCGTCCCCCAAATAAGTTCCCGGTTTGACTTCACACATATCAAGAAAATAAATTTGACTTTATTGTGGAGTGCACTATTTTGCACTGTTCAAACACTGTTTGGACACTATTACACACTGCTTCGCACTGTTTGACATTGTTTTGATGTAGATAATTTGCCAAATAAAGGAAGTAAGGAAGTGTGAACTTAATTTAGGGACTGCACAAAAAGGAAAGTGATAACTTAATTGTGGGACGGAGGAAGTAATTAATTATATCACTCAGTTACATGCCGAAAGTGATCATAGTGACTAACATTATAATTACGTTAATTACAATTATATTAGTGACAATTACATTTTTCACTAATTACATTTCTCCGGTTATAGTTACATGTCGTTCGGTGATTAACGCCCGCTAGTCGTGAAATTTCCACCGCCCGTCCCATTACCGCCCCATCTTGTTTGGTGATTGACGTCGCCAAACTCTTGCCACACTCTTCCGTCACTGCCACCACCGCTCGCAGCCGCCGTCGTCGCTCATTCCGGAGACCCTGTCCTGCCCCAACCGACAACTGCCACCACAGTGACATCTGCTACAATGACCACCGGCCACCACTGTTTGCCGCCATAGTTGCACCTTCTGACGCCGCTGCATTGACATTTTCGCAGTGACAATTCCGCATTGGCACACAATAATTACTCCGGTCAGTGTTATTCCGACCACCACTCCCAACCACCGTCGGCCACCGCTACTGCCGCCGACCACCCCAACACGACTACCTGGCCCCAGCCAGCCCCTAGCCATTTTCCCAGCCTCCTCCCAGCCCCAAGCCACCTTCCCAGCCCCCTCTACTCTGTCACTATCACCCAACCTGGTCCCGCTCCGCCGCCGACCAACTCCGACCCTTTAGCCGCCACATGTTGTCACTCACCAAACACCCCAACCAACCTCGATCCACTCCCCCCAGCCCAAGTCCACCACAGTCCGATCAGATCTGGCAATATGCAACCCAGCCATACTAGTCAGCACCTCGGGCGGCGTTGGCCCAGCCTCAGTCTGGAAACTCTACTGCGGACCACCTTCACCGTCTGACTTCATCGCATATATGAAATTGAG